CAGAGGAGCAGGAAAGCTCCTCTGATGCTGCTTGGCCTGCTGTGTTCATCCAGCTCTACACCTTGTTATCTAAGGATCTTTGGGTGTTTTTTTTAAACATCATCCTGTTTCAGTCCAAAGTAGGGGATATCAATCTCCGCTTGCATTGAAATCGATTTGCCACCAGTTTTTAAAAACATTTTTCTTCGATAGGATCTGGGCACCATTGGCACAGCCAGCATTTGTTGCCCAACTTTAATTGCCCTCAAATTGAAGGACTTGCTAGGTTAATTCAGAGAGCAATTCAGGAGTCACACTTAGGCCAGACCAGGTAAGGATGGCAGATTTCCATCCCTAAATGATCTTAGCGAACGAGATGGGCTTTTACAACAGTCCGTGGTAGTTTTTTTAATACTGAGAGTGGTTTCAATTCCAGATTTAATTAATTTATTTTTAACTTCCAAAGGCTGCCGTTGACAGATTTAAATCTGTGCTCCTGGAGCCTCAGAAAAAAATCACCATCAGGCCACCCTCTCCTGCTCTTCACAATGGCCCTTGTGGTTGGCATGTTCCACATGGAGGTAATGGTTCAAGAAAGTGGCTCACTTACCACATTCAATGTCAAGAAGGGAAGGGCACTCAATGCCAGTCTGGCTAGCAATGCCCACATCTCATGAATGGATATAAAAAGAACCAATTTGTGGGGCATACTTTAGAAAACTCCCTCGAGTGATCCAGGCACGTGAACAGTCCAGCAGTGGGCTCATCGATGGTCATCAAGCTGGTGGCGTTGTGGAGTTGTGAGGAGCCATCTGTCATCGAGGCAACCTCTACCCTGGAGCTGCCATCCTCTGGTGTTCCTGGAAGGCTGGAAGGAGAGATGGTGTCTCTGGTTGGAAGTGTGGGACTGGCACCGACAGGTATTCTCTATGAATGCCCTCTCCTCCTGAAAACGTCATGGTGCACAGCTGGACCCTCTGCCTTGCATTCCCACACCTGCAATCCACTTGCTGCTACTTCAACCTTCTTTCGGACACACCTTTGGCTTTGCTATCGCATTCTCACAGATTCTAAGAATGAATAACGCCAAATACTTTTCTAGAAAACAGAAGATTTTGCCACCTCCTGGGTAAAAACTACATTCACATTCACTCTCCTCAATGGAATAGATTCCAGTCTGTTTGAAACATGGACCATAGGAGCAGGAGGAGGCCATTCAGCCCTTTGAGCATGCTCTACCATTCTTCCCGATCATGGCTGACCATCCAGCTCATTGCCATGTTCCTGCTTTCTCCCCATGCCCATTGATCCCTTTAGCCTTAGAAACTATATCCAACTCCTTCTTGAAAACATTTTGTGTCATGGCCTCTGTGACTGAGGATTCCACAGGCTCACCACTCTCTGGGTGAAGAAACATCTCACCAGGTCTAAATGGCCTACCTGATATCCTTAGACTGTGACCCCTGATTCTTGATTCTCGAGTCATCAGGAACATCTTTCCTGTGTTGACCCTGTCTAGTGCAGTTAGAATTTAATAGGTTTCTGGGATCCAACCCAAGGACCCAACTTTAATACTGAGATGTATATTAATCTTGAATCAAAATTGCAACAGAATGAGACCACTCGGCTCGAACCTGTTTTACCACTCAACAACATCATGGTCATTTGTTTCTTAGCACCATGTAATTGGCTTAGTTTAACATCCTTTAATACCCTTGGCCAGCTATTACAAAATAGAACCAGTATTGACTGATGTAGACTTTTCTATGATAGGAAATAGTTTCCCTCTGCCTACATGATCAAATCCTTGCATTAACTGAAACCTCTCAATTTGGTCACACAACCTTCTAAGCACAAGTCAGTGCATTGAGTATAGGAGTTGGGAGCTCATGTCGCGGCCGTACAGGACATTGGTTCAGCCACTTTTGGAGTATTGCACGCAATTCTGGTCTCCCTCCTGTAGGAAAGATATTGTGAAAACAGAAAGGGTTCAGAAAAGATCTACAAGGATGTTGCCAGGGTTGGAGGTTTTGAGCTTATAGGGAGAGGCTGAATAGGCTTGGGGCTATTTCCTCTGGAGCGGCGGTTTATAAAATCATGAGGGGCATGGATAGGGTAATTAGGCAAGGTCTTTTCCCTGGGGTGGGAGAGTCCTAAACTAGAGGGCATAGGTTTAAGGTAAGAGGGGAAAAATATAAAAGGGACCTTAGGGGCAACTTTTTCATGCAGAGGGTAGTGCGTGTATGGAATGAGCTGTCAGAGGAAGTGGTGGAGACTGGTACAATTACAACATTTAAAAAGCATCTGGATGGGTATATGAATAGGAAAGGGTTTAGAGGGATATGGGCCAAATGCTGGCAAATGGGACTAGATTTATATGGGATCTCTGGTTGGCATGAATGAATTGGACCGAAGGGTCTGTTTCCGTGCTGTATATTTCTATGACTGTGACGCTAAGTGAATACAGAGCATCCTCATTATTGAAAGCCTTCAGATCTGGTGTTTATTCTGAATAACTTTCATTTTTGAATTTAATACTTGATTTAAATGTACAATATCAGGGGGCTTTTCCAATACGCAGAAGTGATGAGGAAGGATTCTTCTCCCTGATCTAACAACTCCCCATTTCTGCAGTATGGAGTCTCCATTGTATCTTTTAACTAAAAATATGAGGAGCAACTGGAGGATGAGGAAGGATCAAAATGAATGAAAAAGAATTTAAATAGCATCTTTCACAACCTCATGACATAGAATCCCTACAGTGCGGAAGCAGGCTATTCAGCCCATTGAGTCCCCACTGACCTGCTGAACAACATCCTACCCAGGCCCACCCAATCCTGATAACCCTGTATTTTCCATTACTAACCCACCTGGCCTGCACACCATGAGCAATTTAGCATAGCCAATCCAACTAACCTGCACATCTTTGGACCCAGACAAAACCCACACAAACTCCACACAGACAGTCACCCGAGGATGGAATCGAACCCGGGTCCCTGGCATTGTGAGGCTGCAGCGCTAACCACCGAGCCACTGTGCTGCCCAAGACAGCTGCCTTAAAGTGTAGTGACTAGATTGTACACAACACTCCAGCCCTCTCCAGCTGGGGCCTGACCAGTGTACTACTTACAACTCATGCCAGAATGTGATGCTGGGAAGTAGTTCACCATTACCAATCCTTTGCTTATAGTGTGTCTAGGGCCTTCCAAGTTACCAGTCGGTCAGGATGGATCACTTGTGAAACGAAACAGAAGAGGCATTTGTCTTAGTTAACAAGATGATTTATTCCATGATATCAATAAGTGTTAATTACATTACTAGTCAGGCATAAACACTATAAAGGCTCTCAGGAGGTGTACTGAATGCATCAGCTCCCTTCAATTACCCATGCAGAACTTAACTGTCTGTACCAAAAGACTGTGATATTATCAGATTGGGTGGATTTGCTGCAACATGAACATTTAACTCTTTCATAGCCAATGTTTTATACAGTAACCAATGATTTATAAGGTTTCAGCATACTGTCAACATGAATACAAAGCTAATAGCAACATTGATGAGGTTGTAAGTGTAGTTATTGTAAATGATTTGATTGCTTATTGTATAGTCACCAACAACAAAATGATAATTTTGATTGTTCCGATTGATTGAATGCCCATTTGGAATGATTAATGGTTAACTGTAAAGCATTGATGAACTGAATTAAGAACACCTTGATTAGGCTATTGAATGTGTAAACAGCAGCACAGAGGATGGACATACAAGCTGCTATCACTTGGCTGACGCTGACTTTCCTGACATTACTCCCATTATCCATTGGAAGAAGCCAACTTTGTTGCTGTATTCAATGACGTACTCTGGATAGATCTGGTGCTTCTCAAATATGACGAAGACTGATGGGTTGCAGCCATCGTCAGTGCAGCTGTCATACAGATTGGTATACGAGCCGTCTTTTGAAGGTGGCCGACGATATTGTGCCTTTCCTTTGAAAAACTGGCCAACCAGGACCCTTGCCAGAAACATAGTCTTCATGGCTGCTGTGGCGGAGGAGAAATAATTGTCGGCGTAGGATGCATCTCTGGCCAGGTAACTCCCTATCAATGGAACAGATCATTGTTGAGTACACACACAAAAAGTAGTGAACAAAGACAGAAATGAAACCGCATTTTCTTTTACCGTGTGCGCATCTGACCAGTCCACAGGCTCTCCACTTTCTGATGGAGATCCAGTCTCAGAATTGGAACAGATTCAGATTACCACCCAACACAACCTTCCCAAGTCTTGCCTCATTGTTGCAATGAGCCAGCTAAAAGCTGATAGATCAGACCTCACACATAAAACGAAAAACCTGATCAACGGGATTGCACTTCAGAAAGCAGACCCGCCTCCCAAGAGCTGGGGGTGGTTTTAGACATCTGCAATGGGTGGACCACCAGGCTGGTACCCTGCACCATTCCTCACCACCCACCAGGATAATCTACCCTCACATGTGAAAATCTTCTCCTCACCTCTTATTTTCTTTCACTTGCCCCCTCCCCATAGGACTGTGCCCTCTTTAAGGTAATGGAGTGGGCAGGGGTTTAGTTCAGTTGCCAGTGTGCATTCAGTCACCATGGTGACCAACACAGCAGAGGTTGCTCGTGTCCTCAAAAGATCAAAGCACAGGGAAATAAAACACACTGAAGCTCACACACGCACAGGATACAAAAATTCACACACGCACGAGAAGGCACAAAGAAACTCCCATGCACACATGCTTGTGCACACCCATCGGTACACATACACACACACCAAGGCAGTGATTAGGAGGAAGCCTCTGTTCATTTTCATTCTCCCTAGAAATTTCAGCGCAGAAACAGAGAGATCTGGGAACGTACATAACAAACCTCTCAAGGTAGCCGGGCAGGTTAATAAAGACGGCCCCTTCAATTCACAAGCAAATAAAAAGAGGAAACCGGGGAAAGCAGAGGGGAAGGTCTGTGATAGAATGGAGAGAGGGAGAGGTTAAACGGTAAAAGGTGAAGGGCCGCAGGGAGTGGTAAGAAGGCGAGTAGAGGAATAAAAAAAAGAAACAAGCCCGAGGTGGGGTGTGAAAGGCAGGGTGACAGGATAGCTCCTGTTTGGGCCTCCTCTGTCAGACTTTCTCAATTGTGGTGCCCAGGATGGTCAAAATACTCCAATTGAAGTCAGAATACAAAGTGAAAAAAGAAGATAGATACAACAAAGAACAAACTAGCAAAGAGACACGATACAACACGAGGGCAGAGGTGGCAATCAGAAATTTTTGAAGTCCATGTTGAGTTCACTATAGCCCAATCAACAGAGAATGATATGCTGCTCCTGTTGAGTTTCAGTGGAGAATTATAAAATCAGACTGGGAGAAAGGCAGAGAATAAAAATGACAGGCCTTTGGGAGCTCAGGGTCATTCTCAGAGACTCAACTTCGCTGAGCACCCAGTCAGTGCTGAACCCCCCACCCAATGTAGAGGAGACCACATGGTGAATATCGGATACTGAATACTACATTAAAAGAATGACAAGTAAATTGCTGCCCTACTTAAGATGAGTGTTTAGAGCCTTGGACGATGAGAAGGGAGGGGTTGAAAGCACAGCATTGCATCTCTGAAGCCTGTATAGAAAAGTGCCCCAAGGAACGAGTTCTGAGGAATGGTCACTCAACCCGAAACGTTAACTCTGATTTCTCTCCACAGATGCTGCCAGACCTGCTGATCTTTTTCCAACAATTTCTATTTTTGTTTCTGATTTACAGCATCCGCAGTTTTTCTTTTCAGTCTTTACTTACATTCAGCAACTTCACCTTCGACGTGTGTGCCTTTCTCCAGATAAAAAGGTGCTGCTTTGGGTTGCCTTATGGGTTATCCTAGCTTTTTAGGGACCTGTGCATTTGTAGACCTAATTTAGATCTTTAACCCATCTCCCTGTGCCACGCATATATTCTTATGCCAGCGGATAAGTATGAGCTTATGTGTCCTCCTGAATACCCAGAAGCACTGCGCACAGGTAGCTGTCACACCACCTCTGGCAAAAATGCATGAAGGTTGGAAATGCCTGGTGTGCAATGGTCTAAACTAGCTTGGTGTTCTCCTTCGAACAAGAGAATGTTAGCAGGAGGTTTAACAGGCGCATTCAGAATAGGGTTTGATACAGGAAATAAGGAGTTTCTGTTGGTGGAAAGGTCGATTAACAGACGGGGAGGGCATAGATTTCAGGTAGCAGAATCAGAAGGAAGACAAAAGGGTTTTGTTTTTAAAAAACATAGGCAGTTATTTTATCTGGAATGCACTATTTGAAAGGGCATTGAAAGTAGATTCAATAATCACTTTGGAAAGGGCATTGGGTAAATATTAGAGAGACAGAGAAAGTTGCAGTTCCCAGACCGGGAGAGCAAGGTTGTGGGATTGGTTAGTAGATGTTTCCGAATGCACTGTCAGTCTGTCACTCTATCAATCCATGTTTCTAATTGTCACATACCAGCTTTTTAAAAAAAATCAAAAATATGTCAAACAGTGTCCAGTATTTGATTCAAGGGAGGGAATTATTAAGCGTCAATTTTACCCATTCCCACTAATAAACGTGCTGCTGGTCATAAATCATTAAATACATCTGGGAAGTCCTGAGCTCAAGAAAACCAAAAATAAAATGCAACTCCTTTCTTTAACTTTCCCGTAGATTAACTACACCCACTGGCCATGCTTTGTAACAATGCCTAGGTCACGAGTTATCAGGCATGTTGTGTCAGCTGCAAACAGAAACTCAAGGTGAATCACTGATTTTGCCCGTTACCTTTCCCATATCCTTCGCCATGTGTCCCACATGTCCTCCAGTCAAAGTTCTCCTTGAGAACCGTTGAAATAGGTGAGGAATCCCAGCCATAGAAAAGCTGCCTCTCATCCACTGCTTTACCACAATTTTTTTTCTTCATTTGTTCCTTCTGCCTGTCTCACAAATACAAAAAAAAATTCCTGTGACCTTCCTGGAAGAAACTGGAGAAAAGATGTGCTTCTAATGTGTCAAACGTCTTCTGTCTCAGGCTTAATAGGGAAAGGGCAAACATAATTTAAACTTGTCCCCATTGTCGATGATATTCACAACAATGAGTAAAATTCGAAACCATTTAATTGACCAGAAAAAGCTTTGAGAGGACCGTGGTCATGAAAGGTGCTATGGAAATGCACGTCTTCCTTTTACAAACCATTGAAAGACTTCCCAAAGAGCCAGGTTTTGGACTCGCTCAATTTTCTGGATGACGCTGTTCTTCATGGTCCTCTGAAAGAGGGTCTGCACCTGTTTATATTCCTCTGAAGACTCGAGCACTCGAACAAGCTGCAGACAGAATGAATTTGAGATCAGAGTCTGAGAGCACGAGGGACACAGCACATTTAATTACAGCAACATTGAGTACATTTGTTTCACTCTAATGACAGCTTTAAAATGGAAATACATATCGAGCATTATGATGACACTACAAATAGGAGTCTAGTTAATGAGGGAGACGGAGTAGTTAATGGTGAATCTGCTTAATAAGCCAGATGACTAGCAGTGTATATTGACTAGTTAATGAGCGAATCTGGTTAATGAGCGAGAGATAGTAGGAACTGCTGATGGTGGAGTCAGAGATCACAAAGTGTGGAGCTGGAGGAACACAGCAGGCCAAGCAGAGGAGCTTGGGTCCCGACCCAAAACATCAGCTTTCCTGTTGCTCTGATGCTGCCTGGCCAGCACTGTTCCTCCAGCTCCACACTTTGTTATCTCTGGTTTATGAGCAAATCTGGTTAATGAGTGAGAGGGTTAGCATTGTAAGTCTACTGTTCCCCACTTAAAGACTTTGCATTTATAAAGCACTTTCATGTAAATTGACTGCCACATATTGCAACAGTGAATACACTTCAAAAGGTATTCCAGTGGCAGTACAGTGCTTTGGGACATCCTGGAGTAATGCAAGGTGTTACATGAATGCAAACCTTTATTGTGTGCTCCTTCAGAACTTTATTACCTCAAATTCTGTTCTTCTCCTGCAGAATAGAGAGTGTGACATGAATTGCAATGTTCCATCAGCTTGATGGTCCTTTACCTTATACCCATAAGTTGGCTGAGCTGACATTTCCCAATGTGTTGGAATGGCCGTGCTTTGAGCTGGTTCATCTTTAATCTTGTTATTACTGTAAGAGGAGAGGCAGCAGTTAAGCAAAGGACATTTTCAGGATGACCCTTGAAAGCCTCTGATAGGCTGCATGCTATCCCCCACAGAAGCAAATGGCATTTGGGCCATTACTGTACTTTATAAAATGGGCAAACAGGACAATGACATCCAACACCTCCAATCTATCTTGCCATTCAGTTGGATCGTGGTGGGGGTCACAGGTCAATTTTATTTATCCATTAGTTGCTCGAAATTATTTCCCGAGCAAACAAAAATCTGTAGATCTCATCTGTGGAATCAGCATTTAGCTTTTACAGCCCTTTGACAGAGCAAATTCTAGATTTCCATTAGCCCGTGTACGAAAAAGTGCTTCCTGATTCCTCCTACCTGGCCCAGCTCTCATGTTAGAATTGCTTAGAGAATCATGAGCCATTTTATTTCTTTCAGATGGAGTTCTTTACCAGTTGTGTTTTGCAGTAAAATAACTAGCATATTGCCAATGGCCACAGTCATTGATGATGTGTGAGGAATGTTACAAATCAGTCTGTTTCAATCCGATACATCAAGGATCTATAGCCTCCTCTCAGGTCCATTAGCTGGATGGCCAAGGACTATGTTTAACAGCCCTCCAGGAAGTAAGACCTTTTGAAATAGGAAGACAGAATATGGCCTGTTGTGTCTGCTTTGCCATTCAATACAATTGTGGCCAATCTTTAACTTCAAGTCCTCTTTTCTACGCTTCCTCCCTATCCTTCGAGTCCCTGAGGGACCAAGAATTCTCAGCGTGAAAAGCGTCCAGTGATAGAGTGTCCACAGGCCATTGAGGTCAAGAATTCCAACAACACTCAATCCTTTGAGTGAAGAAATTTCTCCTCGTCTCAAAATGGTCCAAAATGATCGATCTCTTATTCTGAGTCTGTTCCTCTTTTTCTAAAAGAGTCCCCAGTCAGGAGTCTCGGTGTCTACCCTGTAAGCCTCCTCAGAAGCTTGTGTGTTTCACCAAGATCAAATTTCAGAATATAGACCCAGTTTGCACAGCCTGTCACCAAACAACAAGTCTCTCATCCCAGGGATCAATTTATTGCACAATCACTGCATCGCTCCCCCATTGTATTAGATATGGAGATCAAAACTGCACATAGTACTCTAGCTACAGGCTCAATGAAACCCTGTACGACTGTAATGTAGACTTTATCCTTGTATTCCAATCCTCTTGCAATAAAGGCCAATGTGCCATTTGCTTTTCTACGTTGTTAAAAAATTCAGTCACAGGATGTGGGTGTGACTTGCTGGGTCAGAATTTGTTGCCCATTTGTAGATGCCCTAGAAAGGCAGTGGAGAGCTGCTTTCTTGAACCACTGCAGCCCATAATGTTTAGGTAGCCCCACAACGATGTCAGGTTGTCCATCTTCATTGCCTCTTTTGAGACTTGAGATCAGTACAACTGAATGGACTGCTAGAGGTAATTTCAAACCAGTCAAGGATGGTAGTTACTTTCCCTAAAGAGGATTATTCAACAAGGACGTGTTTTTGATGACAATTGACAATGGACTTTTAATTCCAGGTTTTTACTGAATTCAAATTCCACCATCTGACCTGGCAAGATTTGAACCCAGCTTCACAGAATATTATCTGGGTCTCTGGATTACGAGTCAAGCACCATTAGGCTACTTCCCTCATAGCTTGCTCTACCTCCATGCTAACTTTGTGTGTTCCTGGTATGGTACACCCAAGTCTTGTTGGACATCAACATTCCACAGTTTTAACAAAGTATTCAGCTTTTTCATTCTTAGGACCAAAGTGAATAACCTCACACATTATATTCCACTGCTCTCTTGTTACCCACTCACTTAACCTGTCTCTTTTCAGTCTCAAGATGTCCCTTCCACAGCCCATCTCAAAGATTAATCTCCAGGATACTGTTGTAAGCAATGCAGGACAGAAAAAAAAAATTGTGCTGACATGAAAATAAATGGTGTTTTTTCTTTTATACATTTGTTCATTAATTATAAAAACAAGGGACTGCAGGACAAAGGCTATTGTGATTGATTGCCAAGGTTCATTCAATTAGATGATGAGCAGTTCATTCACTTTCCAATTGGTGCAGGAAGGCAGGGCTCTCTGATGATGGAAATGTTGAGTGACCAACGCTGAGTGTGTGGGCAGTCATATGATGATATCCATCAAACACAGTCAAACTTACCAGGGGTGTCAAGGAGGGATCTTGTAGCACAGTGGTCGTGCCTCTACCTCTGGGCCAGGAAGCTTAGATTCAAGTCCCACTTGTTCCAGAGGTTCATGCTAACATCTCTGAATGGGTAGATCAGAAAATTTCCACCAGGGGTATCAAGCAATTCATTGCCTCCTCAGAGGTTTAACTACCATTAATGATAAGGACAGCTCCATTTGTACAAGAATGGGGAAGACACGAACAAAGATAATACTCAAAAGAAACCGGGTGATCAATATACCTACAAAGATCGGAGTTGAGACTCTGCAAGACTCAGTTTTTTGGCTCAGAATTGAAAGTTCAGAAAGAACAAAATTGGGCATTTACAATTGCAATTTGTACCTCTATTACAAGGGGACTGGACTAGAACTGAGAAAAGTGACTTCAATTGTACACCTGTTTGGTGACAGCACACCTGGAGTACTTTGACCTGTGTATTAAGGGAACAATACACTTGATTTGGAGATAGAGTAGAGGTTCATTACGTTGGTTCCTGGGATGAGAACGTTTCTCCAATGATGAGAAGCTGAGTTAATTAGACCTGTATTCTCTAGGATTTAGAAGAATGAGTGGTGATCTCATTGAAATGTAACATCTTCTGAAGGGGCTTGACAGTACGAAATCATTCCCCTTCCCCCCAACCAAATCCCCTTCCCAACCCCCATGACCTCCCTTTTCTGGGGGACCTGGGACAAAGGGGCACAGTTTCGGAAAAGGGGACCAATTATTAAGGACTGACATGAGGAGAAATTATTTCACTCAGAGGGTTGTGAATAATTGGGAGTTGCTTCCCCAGATGGTTGGGATTGCTCCATCAGTGAATACTGAAGGCTGAGATTGACAGATTTCCAGCTCTATCAGGGAACCGAGGATAAGGGTGACAAGCAGGAAAGTGGGGAGATGAGGATATCAAGTGGCGGACGAGGGGGTGAACATTTTAGGATTTTATTCCAAATTCAAGCCATTGGTGAATTGGGAGCCAGCGTAGGTCAATGGTATGGAGAGAGAGCAAGGTGCAGTCTCCGGTAGGAATGGTGGGAAGAGGTCCGGTAAGGTGGGAGATTGGGTGCCTTTGGGGAAGGTGCTGTGTTGTGGGGGAGGATTCAGTGTGAGTGACTGTGGGCAGAGGAGGGTGGGCTGTCAGAGTGATTGTTGGGGAGGGTGTGTTGTGCAATTATTGGGGGTGTTTCTGTGTGCGATTGTGAGCTCAGTTTGGTCGTTACCCAGGAGTCTGAGCTGGTTTTATTCCCTCTAACCTTTCCTGGGTCACTATTGCAGGAATACATTGGAAACCTTCTGAAGCCCCTGAGTTAAATGTGGGGAATTTTTCAGATGGGGTGATGGGGGGATAGTTCCAGATTCCGGGTACCTGCTCACCAAAAGTTTAAACTTCCCAGGAAATTCCCCACATAGTCACTGCGTCCGGAATGCCACACACAGTCCCCCAAGGCAGGTCTTTCAAATACATGAGATCTCCAGCTGCCTGGGGGATGTTCGAGCCTGTGTGTCAGTACCTGTACATCTGCCTTTCCATTTCCTGCTTCGACATAAACCGAGGTCTTCTCCGGACTTCCCTGCACGTTCCGAGAAGCGTGTTCCTCTGGATCATTGCTTAATGAGAAGGAAAATAACGTCACCATTTTAACCCACGCACAAAAAGTCTTACACGCAAACATTTCAGCTGCTAAAACAGAAACAGTGGGAAAGTAAAACAGCCCTGTGCCTCACCCTGCTTTAGACTCAGTATGTAACTGCCTTTTATTTTGGTTGGAGGCTTTTTACAATGGTATGCTTCGAGCTGGCCAGCGACTGTTTTACTTTTCGGGTTTTGCCAGTTCAGCTGTGGACACTTTCACACGTGAAACTGGACATGTTCTGTTCCTTGAGAGCAGAATGAGCATTTTGCTGCGGATGGTGACACCAATGTGTGCTTTCAGCCACTGCGCTGGCCCTTGTTAACTGATTTCCGGCACTATTTTCTGCTCACAACTGTTCTCTCCCACTGCCCTTGTATATCTGAGCTGCGTGCACTTTGTGTTGGTAAACATCATATAAACCACAGAAGGTGGTGGCTCAGTGGATATTACTCTCCCCTCTAAGTTGGAAAGTTGTGGGCTCGTGCCCCACCCCAGGGGCTCGATCTTAATCCAGGCTGACGTTCCTGCAAAAGTTACATTCAGCTTGCCTTTCAATCCTGCTCGAACCATGTCAAGATGCACAAGTGCCTAGTAAAGTCCCCACTATAGTTAACTGAATACAAAAGTTCAGTTTGAGACTTTAGTCCAGCGGTGAAGGAGTGCTGCACTGTCCGAGCAGCAGCCTTTCCAATGAGGTGATGAACCCAAGGTTTCACCTGCCCCCATGGAGGATGGAAATGATATCACGGACTCCCTGCGTGTGGAAGCAGGCCATTCAGACCATCCAGTCCACACCCACCCTCTGACGAGCATCCCACCCAATCCTGTAACCCCATATTAACCATCTAACCCGCACATCTTTGGGCTGTGGGAGGAAACCAGAGCATCCGGAGGAAACCCATGCAGACACAGGGAGAACGTGCAAACTCCGCACAGACAGTTGCCCGAGGGCGGAACTGAACCCAGGTCCCTGGTGCTGTGAGGCAGCAGTGCTAACCACTGAGCCACTGTGTCCCCACTCCTCTTTCTGGTATGCTAAATCATATTTTCTGCATTCAGGGGACAAGACTCCTAAGCCAAGCAGAAAAAGTTCACAGCAAGAAATAGGTTTATTTGTAACAAGAAGCGTCTTAAAGAGGTTTCAGGAGGTGGCAGCGTTCAAAGAAATGCAGGCATGTTCCTCCTGTCTTGGTCAACATCTATCCCTCAATTTTTTGTTCCCTTTATTCATTCACGGGATGAGGGCACTGCTGGCCTGGCAGCATTTATTGCCCATCCCTAATTGCCCAGAGGGCAGTTAAGTGTCAACCACACTGCTGTGGGTCTGGAGTCACATGTAGGCCAGACCAGGTAAGGATGGCAGTTTCCTTCCCTAAAGGACATTACTGAACCAGAATGGGTTTTTCCCAATAATTGACAATGGATTCATGGTCATCATTAGATTCTTAATTCCAGATATTTACTGAATTCAAAATCCACCATCTGCCATGGCGGGGGTTCGAACCTGGGTCCCCCAAAATGTTATCTGGAACTCTGGATTAATGTTATCTAGGCCATCACCTCCCCATAAACAAAATAGATTTGCTTATGGGACCCTGCTGTGCACAAATGCAGTGCTTCCCAAATTGCAACAGCACCTCAGGGGCTGTGGAGTGTTATGAGATACTCTGGCCCACCTGAAAGACACTAGATTAATGCAGACCAACCATTATTCTTTTAAAGAAAACAAAGACTGAATGAAAAGTTGTTCTGTGAACCAGATGTGAGTTCTTCCTCACAGTAAAGTGACCGTACCTTCAAAGTCCACTGTGTAGTAATGCCTGTCTATCTGGAATTCTGCTTTCTCCTTGCTATTTGCCAAATACAGGTTCTCCAGGTCAGCTGATGTGATTAAGGAAGCAGCATTGGAATCTTCCTGTCAGATTACAACACCAGAGGTGAGGAGAAAGACTGGCTCAAAACCAAAACACAGTGGGTGCTGCAAATCAGAACAAAAAATGCTGGAAAAAAATACTCAGCGGCAGTTAGGCAGCAAAGAGGAAAACAAGTCAATGTTTTAGGTTTGCTGCCCATTCTAAGAGAAGATAAAAAAGTTACGAGCTATTAAGCTGGTGGAAGGTGGCAGGATGAAGAGAAAGCTTTGTGAGGGGTTCAGGGAAGATTAGATAACAAAACATTTCACGGTGCTATAGCAAAGAGATTGGTAACAGATACAAGTAAAGAAAGGTCATGTCCAAAAGAAGTATGAATTGGTACGTTTAAAAAAACCGTCTGAATGCAACATGAAGGCAGAAAGAAACAACACAAGATGAACTCAACAGGACAATAAAAAAGGACAAACATGATGAGAAATTTCTCCACCTAGAGAGTGGTGAGCCTGTGTAATTCTCTGCCATAGAAAGGAGCTGAGGCCAAAACATTGAATATTTTCAAGACAGAGATAGATATATGGCAAAAAAACTGCAGATGCTGGAATCCAAGGTAGACAAACAGGAGGCTGGAAGAACACAGCAGGCCAGGCAGCATCTGGAGGAACTGATCAGTCAATGTTTTGGGTATTACCCTTCTTCAGGACTGGATGTGGGGAAAGGGGGAGCTGCCGATAAAGAGTGAGGCGGTGGGGGGAGGTGGAGACAGAATGGTGGTGATAGGTGGACACTGGTAGTAGGTATGACCTGGTTAGTCAATGGGAGGGATGAATCCGGTTGGTGGCTGGAAGGGAGGGTTAGAAGGTGGAATGGAAGGGAGGAGGCGGGGCTGGAAAGGGAGCCGAGGAATGGTTGGCAAAAGTATTTGAAATTGGAGAACTCGGTGTTGAGACCTCCGGGCTGTAGGATGCCCAGGAGGAAGATAAGGTGTTGTTCCTCAAATTTGCGTTCCGAGTTGCTGTGACACTGCAGGAGACTGAGGACAGACATGTCGTAGGGAGAGTCGGGGCGGGGTGAGTTGAAATGGGCGTTGACCGGGAGGTTAGGTTGGCCGTTACGGGCCAGGCGCAGATGACTAAAGGGGTCAAAGGGTATGGGGAGAAAGCCGGAACAGGGTACTGCGTTGGAGGATCAACCATGATCATATTGAATGGTGGAGCAGGCTCAAAGGGCCGAATGGCCTACTCCTGAGGGGGGCGAGGGTTTGGAATGGCTTCAATCTTCATTAGACTAAGCAAACCAAATCTGTAGCAATAACATAATGGTTAAGTTCATGTATACAAGGTAGTATTCTGGAGTAGTACGTTAAGGAACCTACTATAGCACAGCCTAAAATAAAACAGTTCTGAAGAAGGGTCACTGGACCGAAACTTTGCTTTCTCTCCACAGATGCTGCCTGACCTGCTGAGTTTCTCCAGCGATTTATGCTTCTGTTGTGTGACAAGCTACTTTAGTATTGGGTGATGAGAAAGGTGAATGCATAAGATTGTATGAAAGGGGCCTCTAGGGCAAACTGACTATTAACGTGACAGAATTTTATACCAAGATTGGATGTAAATTATTTATGTTTGAAACTCGAGTTGAAGAAAGCAAACCATGTGGATATGAGGGATGAGTCAGTTGATGTTGAGTGGCAAACTACTTTAGAAGAAATGACAGTACACAAGAAATGGGGTAACAAGGTGTAGAGCTGGATGAACACAGCAGGCCAAGCAGCATCAGAGGAGCAGGAAGGCTGACGTTTCGGGCCTAGACCCTTCTTCTTGGGGGTAAGTATTTTTTTAAAAAATAATCAACTGGTATTGGCAAAAATGTACAGTCATTTGAGGCATGGAGAATGTTAATGCAAACTAGTATGGACCAGAGTGCCAGATGATATGTTTCTTTTGAATATGGTCCATGTAATTCAACACAGGAACCAGAAGCTCACCTGTTTACCGTATTCAATCCACTCTCCAGTGTTAGCCTGCCAGTACCAAAGCCATTCAGTGGTTATGGTGTAGTGCTGAGGTTCGGTGACGGACGAGACAGTGGACAGACGCCTCACCTTGTTCAAGTTGTTGGTCATGGTCATAAAATTAATGGCTGGGGGTCCAGCTCTGCTTCCGAAAACAAACAGACAATTCAGTTGTCATCCAAAGAGTAAAGTCAATCCTTGTCAAATGTTATGCTTTTGAGTATTACTGTGCAGCAGCATCACATAAAACCCCATAAGCAGACTTTCTGTTCTTTATGTAGGAGTGCCCTTTGTGCCTGATCTCCGTCTGTGACATCCACCACACTGGCTAGGAGCCAACTCTGAGCCCAAGCTTCTTCAGTTCACCTGCAAACTTTAAAGGGCTGCCAAATCCTCTTCGTTTAACCCTTTGTTCAGAGGCTTTGAAAACTTGCCACAAAGCCAGCTTAGAACAAACGTTACAGAAATCAGCTGCACTCTAAACTATCAGCTACTTGGGAGCAGTGATAGTAGGAACTGCAGATGCTGGAGAATGCGAGATAACAAGGTGTAGAGCTGGATGAACACAGCAGGCCAAGCAGCATCAGAGGAGCAGGAAGGCTGACGTTTCGGGCCTAGACCCTAGCAGCCAGGCTGAACTGGCGCAGCTAAACTGAGGATGACCAAAAGCTAACACATCAAACCCTGTGACACACCCTTCCCCCACGCTCCGTGTGTTCAATCCTCCGAAGGAAGTAAGTGTGTGTGGATGGACAACAGTCAAAGCACATCAATGCAAACAGTAATGAGATCAGCCATGATGGTATTAACTGGCAGAGTAGGTGCAACGGGCTGTCCAGCTTACTACTGCTTTAGATGTTTGTTTTGGATGGCATTATTGAATAAGTGACATTGAGGAGTTGGCGAGAGGATGAGAAACCACAAGTGATGCGGAAACTCAGTCATCCTTCTACTAAAAGGCATCCAACCCTGTTAAACCAGGACTGACAATGTTTTTGGACTGGTTAACAGGACACGAGCTGAGAAAGGGACAAGTACAGAGGAAACGATTTACATTGCTTAGCTCCTGTAAGAATAAACCCAGAGGGAGTAACTTTATTTACACAGCAGGTTGTTACCGTCTGGACTGAAGAGAGAAGGAAAGCTAATTCAATCAGGACGTTCAGAAGAGAATTATCTAAATGCTGCAATACTCCAGGGAATGTTTCCAGGGAGAGAGCAGGGGAGTGCAACTGATTGGATCACTCTTTCAAGGAGTCAACACATGAACAATGAGTTCAATGGCCTCCCTCAGATTCAAATAAAATGATTTTCAATTCAAATTAATTATTACATCATTTTTGTCTCAAAGCAAATCACCAGAACCGAGTTTGGGCTGAGAATGCTGATAAACACAGGCGGCCCAGGACAGGAGGCGCCTTATAGTGTTTGACTGCGCTTCAGGATAATGGAATGTGTGTTGGATAGGATGGGGAGAAAAAGAAGTGTACATGTGCGTGTTTGTGTGACAGAGTTTGTGTATGTGTGAACTTGTGTATGTAAGCGCGTCTGAGAATAGGTGTTTGTGAGCATACATTTATAATATTTATTGTGAGAGATAGAGTGTGCACGTGCATGCGTGTTTGTGTGTGAGAGAGAGAGTGCATGTGAGAATATGTGTTTCTGTTTGTGTGTGTCGGAGTGTATTGAGGATGTGTGAATGTGAGAACGTTCATGTGTGAGTGTGTGTGTGTTTGTGAGAACATGTGTGTCTCTCTGTGTGTGTGTGTGTGTGTGTGTGTGTGTGTGTGTGGGGGGGGGGTGGGGGGGTGCGGGTGTGGGTGTGTGTGGGGGAATGTGTCTCTCTGTGAGCATGCGAGAGTGCATGTGTGACAGTCTGTGTGTGTGTCCGCGTCTCTGTGTGCGAGTGTGCGTGTGCGTGCCAGTCTGTGTGTGCACGCGCCAGTCTGTGTCTATGTGTGAAAATGAGTGCGTGCTGAGGCAAAAAAATGAAATAAAAACTGTGAGGAATCAATTTAAATAAGGAGACCAATGTCACTTTGAAAGTTTATAACAGCAAATTTACATTCCTCCCCAGATATAAACATTTCCATCATCACTAACACCCTTATTCCCCCCCTTCCCTCCATAAGAGTTAGGGTCACCCGTGGTTTGTAATTTACCTAAAAATGGCCAAAGAGGATTGGTAGCTGAAGCAGTTATTTACACAGTCAGAATTGTGACCTTCATACTCTTAGCAACCAGATAAGATAATGAAGTGTCTCATAGGAATCTCACAAGTGAGTCTTATTAAAAATAAGGAAAAACGTAGCCACTGCTTACACCAAGATAGTTTTGATAAGGGAAGCACTGATAGAAGCCCTTCTTGCAATTAAAGATTGTTGGTTAACGTGGGATAGAAGGGGAAAAGCTTGACTCACATTCTGAAGGGTCCCGACCCAAAATGTCAACTTTCCTGCTCCTCTGATGCTGCCTGGCCTGCTGTGTTCCTCCAGCTCCACACTGTATTGTCTCTGACTCATTTGCAGGTCTTGCTATCTCACATTAGTTAAGACCCTTTCCGTGATTGTAATCACATATACATACATGTATACACACACACGTACGCATAGGTATAATAGCAGTTTTAAAGTATTCAACATCAAGGGATTTAATTGGATTCCTGTAAAGCAGCTTTAAACACACAGACCTTCTTGATAAGGAGCACCCTTGAAAAAAACCTTGAAAGAGGCCACTTTTATTAGTTGGTTCAAAGTTGTGTAGTAAAGTTTAGAAGAAAAAGCCTGATCTTGCAAATAATTCAGATTCTTTAGATATTTGTCATTGCATTTTATATACACCTGTATAGGTATACGAAAGTTCTAAATACAATCAACAAACTAATATTAAAGCATTGAACTGAATTCCTATGGACAGACAGCCTTAGACATCAGCAAGGAGCCCCCATACTGCAGCAGGGAGGATTGAATAACAGAGACAAGAGTCAGTAGTACTGGAATGTAGTTGAATAAAATGCAATGTGAAAGCCCAAAGGTGGGTGATAAAGGTGTCTGGTAAACATCATGAGATCACAGGAAGCCCTGGAGATGTCCATCACTGACCATGCAGTCACATGATTAACTTGACGGGACATGTACGTAACCATTTAATAATATGATTGATTTGTAATAATCAAAGACAGGCTGCAAACTCATGAGTAAAAGTTTATGCCTTTCCATTGTTTAGTCAAGCAGCTTCTGGACTCCCTGGGGTTTCTTCCCATCAGCGTTACATCGATAAACTTGTTAATAATGGAAGAGGCTCTGGGTGTCGAGTGATTCGGTTGGTCATTCCACTCCAACGTGTATGTGCAAACGTGTATCTCTGTGTCCGTGTGAGAGAGAATGAATGACAAAGAGAGTGCGTCTGCGCGACAGAGTGCATGCACGTGTGTGCGTGGCTGTGTGAGAGAACGTGTGCATGTGTCTACTTGCATGTATATGAGAATGTGTGTGTGAGAGAGAACGTGTGATTGTGTGTGTGTGTGTGTGAGAGAGAACGTGTGATTGTGTGTGTGTGTGT